CGCTTATGGGCGTACTCTCCACCTCTTGCCATCATGCGCGTTACCTCTCCCAGTACTACTCACGACTACTGGGCTATTGCCTCTGCTGCTTGGCACACTGCGATCTGAAAGGGCAGCGAAACAGAAATAGGACACGACAAATATACCGACCACGGCGAGGAGCGACCACATCCCGTGGGCCTGCTAGGAAGAAAGGGTACACGGTTATGCTGGTATGTCCAATTTCTCATAAACCCCTCCCCTCCTCCAATCCGGTCCACGAGAGTCTGGCGCGCTGGCAATGTGCTGCGAGCCGACTTGTCGCAAAGGGAGCATCCAGCTGGCACGGCCACCTGATGAGCTCCCTTGGGCCTCGTCAAGACATCTTTTCCCCCCCTCCCTACTCCGACTAGTGGACGATTGTGGCGGGCGCGACGATGGTGGCGGGCGCGACGACTGTGGCGGGAGCGGATGGATTGAGTGGAGATGGACAGATGCGGTGTGCACATTTGGTGAGTGCTTGTACATGCAGTACTATACGTGGGCCCGTAGCCCAATGGAAACTACTGATATCTACTGATATGTTACGCACCCACCGAACGAGTGCGATGCCCCGCTTTACATGTTCGTCGAATGGTCGCCGGAAGAAGTGGGTTGAGTGTGGGCCTTGGCCGACTCAGACGGCATTCTCGGGGACATCCAGCGACATCGTAGAAGAACGGCGTTGTGGCGAAGCTATGTATGTGAGCACACTACGTACAAACGCGGTCATCTGACCATACGTGCAGGGGGCCCCCTAAAATTGAGGACGCGTACTCGAACCAAGCACGGCTGAAGTTCGAACTCTATTTGAGTTTGCCAGCGTATTTAGCGGGTGCCAGGATGGGATCTTCTTTTACCTGCACTACGTTGTCTCCACCGACGCCCATATTTTGTAACCGCGCCATTATGTCTCACAACAAGGCCAACCTCACGAAACAGGAGTACATGCGTGTCTTCCTGGTCTGGAATGTGTTGAGGTCAAAGAGGTGCACCAGATGCGAAGCAGAGGATCTGGTCTGCGACTACGCCAAAGGCAGCAGCTTCAAATGCAACGCATGTCTGAAGTCAAAGTCGGGCAGGGCAAAATGTTCCTGGGTCGCGGGTAAGTCATGAACGACAACTAGACGGTGGAGGCTTAACCTCTAACTTTCCCTTTAGAGCTCATAAAGAAGGTGGTCGTACTAGCCAATGGCGAAGAGCTCGCTACGTGTGCCCCGAAGGGGTGGTTTGCTTTCATCCTAGAGATGTTACAGGTGTTAGGGGGCGTCAACCAATCCATCACCGCCCAGGACGACCACCCAGCGCAAGGGAGCTCGCCGGCCGGCGGGTCGGTCGAAAAAGCGGCTGACAACGCCGGCCCGTCTACTCGAATCGACGACGACGCCCGCGTTGCTACAGACCCAGTTGACAACGGGGCTAATCGTCGTACGCCGTCCACAGAGATAGTGAACGACGGGGGCTTTGCCGAAGAACAAGGCGACGCACCCGCCCACGAGAACATCTCTCGCCACAGCACCCCTGTCCCGTTTGTGGACGATGCCGGTGTTCGTGAAGAAGGCGATAGGGCGCAGGATGGTTCGCCGAACGGCGGCAATGCCAAAGAAGAGGCCTACGGATCCACACACAGTCGCTCCCCGTCCATCGCCTGGCGCGACCGCGAGCCTTCACCCAGGTACTTCAGGACTCCTTCGATGGAGTTCCCCAGCGACCTGGAGTATCCAACACACAATGGGACTCCGTCCTTCCGGGTGCCCCCCTCTCCAGCGTACTTTCGGAGTGAGTCTGAGGAGGCTCCCGACTACCGCGACCACCTGCCGCAGGACTGGACATCGCACCTGGGAGTGGCCGCCTACGATGGCTCGGCAGCTCACATGGGGACACGTGAGGACGAAGAAGTTGTGGACGGTATGCTGGGCAACCTGGCGCTGGGCGGCACTCCTTCCGTGGGTGTATCGGACGCTGGAGATCGGGAGGAACTGGACAGCGTACGCGACATCGACGCTCGCACGCAGGATGCCGACACCTCGCACTTCGGGTTCTATGAGGAGGAAGAACTCAGAGTTCGAGCATTGGAACTCCTGGCCGAGATCCAGGACAAGACCGAAGAGTATTTCGAGCTAAGCAACCTAGCCGAACTCTCGTCGTGTCGCCTACTGGACCTCATGGAAGAGGCAGCTAGCCCGAAGGAGGTGAGCGAGGTTGCTGCGTGCGCCGCTGGTCATTTAACCGCAGCCCGTTTGGCGAAGTCGGCCGCCTGGCTGGCGGAATGGGAACGCAAGAACACCCTGCAACGTCTGGAGCAGCTGAAGGTCTCGCGCAAGCGAACCGCAGTGCACGACGAAGCGCCCTCGCCGACGAAGGTTGCACGCAGGGGAGGGGTAGCCTCGGCATCGTCGTCCCAGAGCGGGCGGTCGAGAACCCAGCGCTCGTCGGCGTCACCACCCTCCGCCCGTTCGTCGACCTCTTTCCGTTCCGCACGTTTGTCGGCTTCAGGCGCCGCTGCACGCTCGGCGGCATCGGTCGCATCTACGACGACACGCAAAGTACGTCGCTCGTAGACACTTTACGGGAGTCGCATACGAACGAGACGGTCGACCGACGAAGCGGGCGCAGAAGCGGGCGCAGATGCCACGAATGTACGATACAGCAATTGGCGAGAGGAGGTATGTACTATTGTCTACATCAGCATGATAATGTTGTTGCATGTCGGACCTGTGGTGCCAGATGGACTAAGTTGGAATGGGCTGGAACCGGGGCACAAGCGAACACAAAACACGGGGGCAGGCTTGCAGCGCGCGGGTGCGTGTACCCAAAATCTCGTTTATGAACTTATGAGCACAATGCTGATATATGGTGTAGAAATACAACCTCCCGACTGAGCGGTTCCTCACACGGAAGAATGACGACATCCGAAAACTACGGAAAACAAGCAATCGTCGATCCCGCTATACCCACAATAGAAGACTTCGCAAGGCGGAATGACGACATCCGATTTCCCCGGAACACGATCGACCGTCGATCAACCCCGCAATTGGAAGACCGGGTTGATTGCCGAGAGCCACGGGGCGCTAACATGCAGGTGCAGCAAGTCATGAAGGCATACACTGAAGCTAGTATTCAACATGCGATGGCAAGATGGCGTGTATACGTACAACAAATGTACCGGACTGCGCGTAGGTATGAAATTTATCACAGCGCGTCTTTTTTGTTCGCTCGCGGCGCACGAACAGTCAACGCCGCTCTAACCCTGCGCCAAACGCGCCTGGCTGAAGCTTGGACGCGACCGAGTGCGGATGGCTTCGGTGAAGATGGCGCCGGGGAAGCTATAAATGGACGCGTCATTGTAATTTGGAAGGCAGGGTGTGAATGGGTGCGCGTACCGGTTCCGCGACGCGATGGCGCACTGTGTAAGTAGGGTGGCGGGTGAGGGGACGTTGCTCGATGTCCGACGCGGAGGACGCTATGAGGCCCAGGGGGGCGAGGGCAACGGGCGCGGTAGGTGGGGAGGGGGATGAGGGGCCAACCGTGCGCTCGATGTTTGGGGCGGCGGAGGGGAGAACTGGAGGACGGGAGGGATGGCCCGAGGCCGGCGTGGACGAGGCCGCGCGGCGATCCTCAGGCCTTGAAGGGCGAGGCCTTGAAGAGTGGGTATCCCGTGGGCTGTATCGATCGACACTTTGCATCCCAGACAGCGCGCGGTCTGAGCTGCGCGAGGAGCAACTGGCAGGCGTGGACGCTTCGCGGGCAGTGCCATAGCCAATCGGAATGAGGAACGGCAGTGAACGCGTGGGCACGGATGGTTCGCCAACCAAAGATTGGGGAGTACGTGGGGCGCGCGATAGCGTTTGGTCTCGGGTCTGCTGGACGTGGGGCCGGTGTGCGCCGGTGTGCGGACGCGCGACGCCAGTTACGGTGCGGGATGGGTGGTTGGTAGGGAGAGACGGGGCTACGTGGAGAGGGAATCGCATTTGGGGGAGGCATATCGGGGTTGGCTGCGAAAGGCGGGGGTGGTCGCTGGGAAGTAACGTACCAAGCGAGGGCGGAGTACACTGCTCGCGCGATCGAGTACTTAAATCGCTTGTGCGTGAGGGATGAGATCCGGGGCGCGCGTGCGGGCGAGACATGGAGGGCTACAACGTCGGTGAGAGTGCGTAGCAGCGAAAGGAAGTAGTGGAGGGAGAAGGCGGACTGCGAGGAGCCGCTCGGCGTCGTCGCGCGCGACGTGGGCGATATAGGCGCCTGTATGGCGCAGACTGGCTCGTGGTTGCAGGTAGAGTTCTTCCCGCCGTGTTCTAACCGTTTAGACGTTGGAATACTTGTTGCATACAATGTGTGCAATTCGCTCCGCCGTCCTTAATTGCATTTGACAAGTGCGAGAATTGAGGCCGCTAAACGTTGAAGATCCAGGTTTGCTACATATCTTTCTCTCCCTGTCTTCTGTCTGCCTTCATCTGTCCTCTATCAATCTCTGCTCGTCTATACACACGTCTGTATAGCTACTTGTCTTGAATTTCAATGAAAGTGGGGGTGGCGATGCACGTAATGTGGCCAAGCCCGAGAATATCGGACGAAGGCACGCAAACTGCGATCGTCGTCGATCGTCGATCAGTGTACCGGTGGCCCCGGCAGAGCTTATCGCACGTGTCGCTTGTAAACATAGCCAGGCAGGCAGCGTGTCACCGTGTGCGTATACGCATGAACTCATATATTGACCGGGCTACAAGGTGTGTATGGTAACTGTAAATTAGAGCGCGAGATGTCGGCGGACTAGACCGACAGCGCGGCACAGCGATGATCGCGCAGCAAAGAGGCGAGGGCGGCGCACGACGTGAGGGCATCCATCACAACCCGCTCGCGGCCGCCTCGAACCAGTGAGTCCCCAGCCCACCCCGCCCCTAACCCGCTCACCACGTCCATCCCCCTGCCAGTCCCAGTGCCACCCCCAAAGTCGACGGTCCCCCGCGCCCGACGACGCGCCCCCCGCCCCACACCGCCAGCACGCACTCACGACCCCATCAACACGATGTGAGACATGCACGACCCCAACGACCACCGCCAAGACTGGAGGGCGCACGCACGCGATGGCGCTAGCACATTCGGCCCTGCGCGCGCGTCCACCTGGCCCACAAACCCGCAAGTCAGGCCGCGGCGAGCACACCCGCGGCCATTCCTCCGCGCCGCGCATGCCGTAGGTTGGTATCGTGGTGGTCACGGGCGGTCGTCGAGTATTCGGGAGAAGCAGAAACAAGGGGCGGGGAGGCCGGCACGAGCGGTTCTGGTGAGGATGTGCGCACCGCCCCACCCGCCGCTGCGCCAGCAGGTCTTTTATTGAGCAGCACGCGCCCGCGCCCGCACCGGAAGGCGAACCGACCCATGACGACGAGCGTCTGGCGCGCCTTGTCGCGGGCGCGCTCGGGGGCGGCACGGGGTGAGCGACAGCGCAGGCTGCGGCGAGGCGCACGTAGCAAATCAGTACCACAATGCACGATCCGTCGTCGTGCACCCCACTCACCTTGGACAGCCCCCACCGCGCCACTGGCACTGTCGTCCCGTGCCAGGTGTACATACATGATATGCTTCTACCGCCTCCGCCCTGTCCCTTCGAAGCACACGCCCCCCGACGCGGACACGTGTTCGACCTCCCGCTCGCGAAGGCCGTCTTGACCTCCGCAGCACGACGTCGTCCTTTCAACGTCGCACTGGGAGCAGCAAACGAAGTCAGTGGTGAGTTCGCGCGGTCGGAATCTCGGTTGTGACACGCACAGCCATGTACCGCAGATTCCTGGAGTTGTGGCGGGCGTCGGTGCGGCGGACGGCGTGTACACGGAACGTCTAGGCGTTCAAGATGCTGATCCGGGCTGGAGGCCGCCTGGAAACACACGAAGCGAGCCCCGTCGTGGTGATGACAAGCGGATCGACTCACCTTATCTGGGAGAAGCCGTCCGCGAAGTCCTTCGACGTCCTGATAGAAGGTGAAGAGCGAGAGGGAGTAGTCGACCGGCGCACGAAGACGAGGCAAGCAGCGGCGCATGTAGTGAGGGGGTCCGAGCCGAGTCCGAGATGTCTATGGGAGCAGGGGGAGAGGGATGCAGGACATGAACGCATGGGTGGCATAGATAAAGTCCAAACGAGAGCCGAGTCCACGGGCGCGCGGGGATAGCAACGGAGAGGGCCGTGCCCGGCGAATGAGCGACTTGACTGGGCGGGGTCGTGCGATATCGTTCGGGAGCGCGAGAGGAAGAGAGCGCGAGAGGAAGAGAGATGGGTCGAACGTCGCCGGAGTCGCCCACGGCGAGCGCGGGGATAGCGACGGACAAGGCCGTGCCCGGCGAATGCGCGACTACTCTGCTCTGCCCTGGCTCCGCAGCTCGCAGCCAGCAGGAGATGCTGTGGTCCATGGACCTTTCGTTATGCATCGGACTGGGCGGACTCAGACGGGAAGGTTCGTGTCGTGTTCATCATTAGGGATTTGAATACGGAGCTTGGCGTTCGGGGTGTTGCCGCCGGGGGCTCAATGCGTGGGCGCGATCGCTCATGTTGCGGTCGAGGTCGCGGGGCGGGAGCGTGGGTTCACAATTGGGTGCTCAGGGTGTGAACGCGGACGGAGTAGGCGGCGTCACAGGGCTCGCGCCCATGCATGAAGGTTGCGCAAGCGTGAGTGCGGGCGCGGAGGTGGTTGTCGCGAGCGTCCGTGTGGCAGGCGTCGGCGCCGCGGTTGCCCAAGGCCTACAACACGTGTAAGTTGTGGTAATACATGTAAACCAAAACAAAGAGAAGAACGTACCTGCGAGGATATTGTCCATACATGTGTATTTTCCCCTTGCCTCCCACAAGACCCTGGGGACTGACTGAGATGAGCTTGCTGCGAGTACAGATCTTCACATGCTTCGTAGTGCAGAGCTGGCGTGTGCCAGGTGGAGTGGCCCACCGCGAGCAGAGAACGAGGTCGTATTGATTCTCGTCAATCGGTGTGCTGCGAAGCAGGCGACCGACGCATGCAGTGGCGTTGTGAGCGCAGGCGTTTCGGCGTGGGGCGTTTCGGAAGGCGGAAGGGGAAGCGGCGAGGGTTGCTAAATGGCAGGATATTTCGGTGCGCGGAAGAGGAAGCGGCGACGCGTTCTATGCGGTGCATCCCGGCAGGCCTGTTCGAACATCACCAGTGGGGTTCGCATCGAGTCCAGCTAGAAACTCACCGGATGGGAGCACAGAGTGCTGTGTGGAATGTAGCACAAGGTGCACAGGGGACGTCCACCGCAGGACAGGGCTAGAGACAAGGGATGGCCATGCGCGCGCGCCCGCGATGCAGCGAGGGCTGGCTGAGGTAAGGAGGGCGCGATGTCGGGGTGGGGCATGGACGAGCAGCGCAGGGTACGCGTGAAGGCGGTTCGGAAGGGGATGGACACAAGGAAGGACGAAAAGAGGAATATAACGAGAAGATACGCACTGGTCGCGGTATAGTCTATAGACCGGGTGTCCACTATGCTTGCTTCCTGCTTCCCTGCGTTATCCTCCACGCTCTGCATTCTCCTCTACGCCCGGCCGTATTCTCCACGTTGCTCGCGTATACGCTCGGAATGTTGCGATATGGGTGGTTTTAACGGGAGAGACATGTTAGGCGAGCGCATGGGCAAGACGTCGCGGAGGGCAATGGGCGCAATAGACCGCGGCGGCTGTGGCAGTGGCACCAGGTACGCTAAGACTAGGAGTGTTCGCGGTAGCTAAGCAGCGAGGTAGAAACGAGCAGGATGATAGAGAGATACGAATCGGCGGTGTGGTGGTCGTGCAGAGCAGAGTTGTGCGCAGGGCGCTCATTTGGCCTCTACCTTAATGCAAAGATACTTGCCCCTCGCGGGGGAATGCAGGCCGCGGTCTGCGGCGTAGACATTTCATAGTATGATAAAATACATCTGTAATAGCTGAACTGTCGACCGACGGCCGTCGATTTCTCGGAACGCGAACGACGCGGCTATGGAGATGAGTTCTGGGGCTGAACAGCCATGCTATTCCGCCGGAACTTCTTCGTGAGTGCCTTCGCCTTCGCCATCCACCCCGCCGCCGATAATCTCTGATCCTGGCCCGGCGCAGGTCCCGCGCTCTCAACTGGCGCCGCCGTCTTCAGCATGCTCCCCGTCGAGCGCCTTGACCGCGACCCGTCCGCCTGCGCCGCATACACGAACGCCGTCCCGTTCGGCGTGTGCGGGGCGTCCAGTGAGTCCTCCTCCCCGTGCACCGCCTCCGTCGTCACCTCCTCGACCGACACCCCGATCAGCAGCCGGCTGGGGGTCGCGAGGATGTCGCGCGAGCGCGTGCGAGAGGGCGGCAGCCGGCGCGCGATGAGGACTCCCATCGCCTTCGCGAGACTGACCCGGCCGGCGATCGTTTCCATCTGCGTGACCTGCTCCTCGTCGCGCACATCATCCTGGCCGTCGTCGCACGACGCGAACGAGTCCGCGCTGCCAGCGTACTTTTGTGCCTGGTAAAACGCGCGGATATTGCCTGCATTGGTGAACACGGGGTTTGTGGGCTCCGGCAGTGCGCTCGGGGTCTGCGCGGTCGGCGTCGAGAGGTCGGTCGCCTGTAGGAGATACTGACGTCAGAGTGGTTCGCTACGCGCAATGAGAGGAGTCTTCGAGATTCCGACTCTGCAAGACGCGTGCCTGGGGTGTCAACGCGGCCGAACTGTGGCCCCGGCAGCGCGCGTCACCCCGAGTGAGACAGAGGCGCGAGGAAGCTCGCTCGCTGCGAGATGTCACTGTGTGCGTGGGGATCTCGTGGTAGGCGCAGATGGCGAACCTGACGGGGAGGGGTCCAAGCATAACAAAAATGAAAGACAGACATACCAGACCGAACCGCGACACGGATATGCTCCCTCGTCTCCTGTCTCTCACGAGGGAGACCATGGTAGGTGCAGCTGGCGGTGCGGGGGAGGCGACGCGGCCGTACACCTCCTGCGGCAGGTCGGCGGGCTCGAGGCTCTGTTGCGCGCGTCGCTCGTTATCCTCTTCCAGCTGTGCGAAGATCTGATGAGGGTCGCGTGTCACTGGGCGAGTACTTGGCGACGCGGCGTACGGACGTACCTGTTCGATGAAGTCTGTGCGGGGGTCGAGGAACGTCGGTGTGACGTTCAGGCTGGTTTGGACTGCGGTCATGATTACAGTTGACGGTCGGTGCTCGGAGGTCGCGGGCTCGACGTTCGGCCGTGGGTGATATGTTTGGGGAGCAATGGTGGAGAAATCAAGAGAGGGCGAGGAAGAGAAGGGTGTGAGGGGCCATGTTGTTTAAACGGATGATTAGCGTTCTCGAAGCGGGGGAAGCAAGTATCCACACG